TTATTGCTCTTGCTTAGGCCCTGAGCTTGGTTTCTAGCATCCATGTTGGGTGGCTCACAGCTACCTGTAACTCCACCTCAGGGGACCAGACATCCTCCACTGCTGTGGTACCTGCACTCACATGTACATACACATACATAGATACACATAGAAAAATAATGAACATTTTTTTTAAAAAAGGCAGATCTCTCTCTAGCCTTCTCCTCTAATCAGGCTATCACTACTCTGGGTGTCAGAAAGAGCCTTGGGAAGAAGCCTTGCAAATAAAAAGCCCAGTATAAAAAGCCAGCTTATTCTGATCAAAAGGCATCATGGGGAAGGCTGAGCAGTTTGGGGACAAGAAGAGGCTTTGAATTCTAGGGAGTTTAAGAAGATTGCTCTGGCCATGAATATTTGACTGCTTGATGCAGTCTTGCTGTTGGGGCCAAACTTGTCACCTGACTTCCTCTCTGGGCTTTAGTACCCACTTGGAAACCTTTTTTTTTTTTTAATTTTTTATTTCAGTTTCACTTACTCAAAAAGGGTCATTTATAAAGTAAAAAAAAAGTCATCAGCATGAAAGAATGAAGTTCAGTCTGGGGTCCTGCACAAATATGGTATAAGCTCCTCTTGAACCTCCCTCTCTCTCAGTCTCTCCCTCTCCTTCTCTCTCTCTCATACACACACAAAGATATATGCTCAGACACATGGAGCCCCCCCTACATACACACTATTCAAACTCTCTCCTATGCCAAGTCCTGCAAGTAAAATTGTCACTACGAACCATAATCTCTATTTTCTCATTACAGCTTTCTCTTTTTTCTTTCCTTTATCTGGACTATAAGTTTCTTTATTATATGGATCCTTAAGCCTGAAAAAATTTAAAACCCATTGCAAGAAAGCTATAATTTCTAACTCAACACTTCATGATTTGATTAAGTCAAATGAAAAGGGAAACGAAGTTGCTACTACCTTATTCTTGTGAGGAATTTTGTACTGTGAAGTCTAGAAGAGAAAATCACCTCTGGGCCTCCTAACTCCCAAAAATCTCAGTCATAATGGTTTTTGCGAAGGCTTCTCAAGACTTAAGAGATTTCATGTTTCTCTTTCTTTTCATCAGTTTCCGGAAAGGACATCTGTTCCTGGGATAACATTTAACGAAAGATAAACAATGGAAATGAGTGATGGAGACCTGTGCTCTGTGCCTGGTGTATCCTCCTAGTTAGATCTCTGGAAAAGCAGGTAATTTCTCAGAGCCTTAACTATTCCTTCTTTTAGCCTGGAGACTGGAAAACCCATCCTTCAGAGGCTTAATCTAGGACTGGGGAAATGACTAAATTGGTAAAGTGTGTGTCTTATAAAGCATGAGGACCTGATTTCAATCCCCAGAACCCACATAAAAAATTTAAAAGCCAGACTTACCAGCATGCATTTGTAATCCCAGTGCTTGGGAGGCAGAGGCAGGTGGATCTCTGTGGCTCACTGGTAAGTCAGTGAAGCCTACTTGATAAATCGGACGTCAGCGACAGATCCTGTCTCAATAAACAAGGTAGGGGCTGGCAAGATGGCTTAGCACATAAAGGGGCTAGCTATCAAGCCTGAGGATCTGAGTTCAATCCCCAGGACCCAAGTGGTAGAAAGAGAGAACTGGCCCCAGCAAGCTGTCCTCTGACCTCCACCTACATGCCATAGCATGTGCATGTACACATACATATATACACACACATATTCACATACAATAAATAAGTGTAATAAAATTTGTTCATTGTTTATAAAAAATTTAAAAGGTGAACAGAGCCTGAAGAAAGACATTGGAAGTTGACCTCTGACCTCCACACACATGTATCCACGTGCACCCGATAGATGTGAGCACACACGTACATAGAAAAATTAATGATATAATAAATATAACACATTACAGTAAAGTGAACATACTACGAAACCTGTCCTGTAAGAGACAGCAGCTGTTCGCTCTTCGTTTGCTTGTTTCTTCGTTTTCTCTGCATTTTGCAGCAGTCTCTGTCTGGAAGCAGTCCTTCCTCAGAGCCAAAACCCAGAGCAACATGTTGCATTCCTGTCCTGGCCAGGCCAGCCACCTTCCCTGGAGCCCCAGTCTGCATCTCTTACTGACAATCACAGCAGCATCCATTCAGGAAGGTTGCAATGCAACCCTCTCCCAAAAGAACCAGCACAAGATGAATCCCTCTACTGTCACTGTCCTGGCAAGAGCATCTTATATAAAGGAGAGAACATAATACTGAAAGTGTAGTCACTTGGCTACACGGGTGGCAACGCCTATCAGCATGGAAACAGCCCGTACATACAGTCATGGGAATGGGCATGCTCTTCCAGGATGGCCCCAATCTAACCGGCAGATGGGACACTTAATCTACCTCTATTGATGATGGGGGTATTTCACTTGTGCAAACTTCCCCTCAGGCAGGATACATGGAGATTAAAGAGAACTGTTTTCCAGACCCTGACAAATGATAAATTCCCATTTTCACAGCATTCTTCTATGTCCCTAAGTCAAGTGACAACTTCTCAGCCCCTTCTAAGTGTCAGATGGAGCCATATGCCAACAGGGAGGCAAGCTGGCTTTGAGTTTTCAGCTGGCACTAATGACACAGCATAGGATAGGATTCTACTTACACCCAGGCAAAAGTGAAATGTGGACCACAGTGTTAGACACAGTTGCCTTTCTTTGTTGTACAGGCCCCAGCATCCCCCAGTAAGCCATACCCCTGTCTCCTCCCACCCCACCCTCACCAACTCAGCTCTCTGTACCCATATACTTCTGTTTACCAACAAAATTCTGCTCATCTCCTTCACATTCTGGAATGATCCAAGTCATTTTATTAAGGAGTGCTACTATGAATTATTGAAAGACAATAACTTAGTGTGTTTGCTTTTATAGGATATTTGCATATTACCTGAGACCTGAGGCAGAAGTCTGTGGCTCTTGGGACCAACAAAACAAGATGATATTTCTGGGTTAAAAGAATCTTTATTGAGCTGTTCCCATCATACCATATGGCTGTCTCTGTCTCTGCCTAACCCCAAGACAGACTGTATTGGTATGTCAATATGCATGAAGATTTTCTTCTGTAGGAGAGAGTCTGAGATAGTATCCCTTCATCACAAGTTTTCCAAGTTGGAAAGGTAACAGACACATAAGAATGCATTTACCCTGCTTTCTATGCAGATAAAGCAGACCTAAGAACATGAATATGGTTGCATCGACAGGAAAGACAACTTAAAATGCTCCAAAGCCCTTAGACCCTAAGAGCATGCTGGTCAGTATTGAAGCCACACAGTCAGAGGCCTGGATTCTGAGTCACTCAGGAAAAACCCAACACAAAAAGCTTCATGCATCTTTTCTCAATTCCCAGCACCACAAATTTATGAAGTTTTTGAAGGGAAATGGACACCGGGTGGTGGGGTAAATAACCAAGTCTGTTCATGACAAGTTGGACTCAGAGTTGCAGAATTTGAAATGTACAACTGATAATTGAACAATTCTGGGGTGTGGAGTAAGGGGCACCTGAGTGTGGTGACTGGAGGACAGCCTCCAGAGTCATCCCTTGGGTATTGCCATCCACCTTGTTATTTTGAGGCAGGGTCTCTCTCACTGGTCTGGAATTCACTAAGTTGCCTAGGTTAGCTGGCCAATAGGTGTCTGGGGAATTTTAAGTACCTGCCATTAAACCCAACTTCTTGTATCGGTTCTGGGACTCAAATTCAGGTCCTCATGCTTGCAGGACAAGCACTTTACCAACTGAACCATCTCCCCAGCCTTCAACAAATGTTTTATCAGACACTTTCTATGTACTAGATTCAACTTCTATAATCACACAAATGGGGAAGCACATATATCTATAACTCACACCAAAGAAGGAACCAAGGAAAATTTCTATTTCACTAGATGATCAAATGCCTAAGCTATTGTCTTCATTCGATTTATTGCTCTATTCACATGCATTACAGAAGAAAAAAGTGGTGATGCACACCTGTTGGTCCAAAGCTTGAATAAAAGCAGTCAAACTTCCAAACTCAGTGACTTAACCTGCTTCTCTGGATGAACCACCTTCTCACACATGAAGGCAATCCCAAACAAGCTGTTAAGAACAACATTCATCAGGGTTGGCAAGATGGCTTGGTGGATAAAACTGCTTGCCACAGAAGTCTGACAACCTGAGTCTATCACTGAAGACCACGACAACCATCCTGGTACAGCGGTGCTCATCTATAGTCCCAGCCTTCCTATGGTGAGAGTGAGAGACAGGATGTTCAGCTGGAAGCTCCAGGACCAGCTAGCATGGAGTACACAGTGCAGCAGTAGAAACAGGACAGACCTCACCTCAACTTGGAATTAGAGAAAGTTGTCTCTGATCTCCACATATGTGCCATAGTATGCACACATCATTCTCTCTCTCTCATGTGCACTACAAGCATGCATGTGCTCCTGAGCACTACTCTCTCTCTCTCTCTGTCACACACACACACACACACACACACACACACACATTTTTTTAATAAAAGAATAATGTCTACCAGCATGGAAACTCTCCAAATTTTGAGGAGGATTGAGTGAATATGCAACTCAGTAGAGCTGAGCCACTTTCTTGGCTCTTTAACATTTAAAGTTGAATTGCACTTCTGTTCAACTTATCCCCAAAGCCAAAGGGGTGATGGAGCAACTATATATAGGTATGGCATTTGGATCTCCGGCACAGTAGTGTTTTCTTAGAGGCTAAAGTCTGTTTCAGATGGAATTAATGTAATTACGTGTAATGTTGACGGATTATAGCATTTACCTATTAGGACACTGTACAAACATTCCAATAATTTGCTGGCTTTTGAGATTGTAAAAAATAAATGAGGCCAGATCCCAGGGGATGTTGCTAATGGGGTAACTGGAATCAAGGTTTCAGGAGCACAGGATTCAGGAAGTAACAGTCAAAGACTAATGCGTTGGAAGCCAAAACACATAGAGTGGTCAGTGAATACTCAGCACTTACCATGAGACTGCTGTCCAGAGAGAGTCTCTTACCAGAGTCCCTTTTCTCCAACTGTCTCTTCCCCTCCATGGGTGAAGTGATTTATTTTCCTTTGTGATTTATGAGAATGTCCCGTCTGTTTCCACAGCCACTGCAAGAAGTGAACACGTGGTTCATTATCCAAGGGTACAGTGTTTAAACTTTTCATTTTGTAAATTTCCTACCAGAAACTAATACCAAAAAAAAAAAAACCACCCAGACCCAAATGGTAAGTCTCAAACAAGATGCCTCATTTCAAAACACATCTTGGCATGCCACCTATGCCAGCTATCTTTTTGGAAGTGTATTTGGAAAAAGTATTTTTATAGAATCTGCCTGTGGAGTCGGGAGATGAGCTTGTAGGCTAAAGCAGAAAATGGTGGTCAACAGCAAGTTGTCTGCTTCATGCCACCTTTGTTCCCCATCCTTCCTCTTTCTAACTGCCAGGCTCCACCCTATGTACACAGGTGCTGTCTGCAAATTCCAGGAGATCAAATTGACAAAACCCTACTCCATAACCAGGAATTACTGAGCCCAAGGCACAGAGGGAACCTGAAACACAAATGTAACTGTGACTGTCAATACTTAATTTAAATTAATCTAAATTAATTTTGTAATACCATTTAAGGCACTAGAGAGATGGGTCAGTGGCTAAGAGCACTTGCTGTTCTTGCAGAGGACCAGAGTTCAGTTCCTGGCAGCTATGTCAAGTGGCTCACAACCACCTATAACTCCACTGACATGGGATCCAGTGCCCTCTTCAGGCTTCTGTGGGCACCTGGTACAAACACACAAACACATACACACACACACACACACACACACACTTTTAAAATAAAATAAAATTTTTAAATCTCTTTTACAAATGTTTGATAAACATTGTAGGATACTAGATCCATTCCTTTTGGGGCAGATTGGTTCAGAGTTAGCAGCAGGTAACATCATTAGAGTCAGTATCTTAGGAACACTCACCACATTTTCACTTATAGCTCATCTGTATGAGACTGTTGTTCTAGAGTGATTATGTATTCTCCTTAGTAAGAGTCTATCATGTACATTAAGTGCTAGCTTCCAATTGTCATCAAATTGTTTAAAAACAAGAGAAATGGCATGGCCTCTGGTAGTTTGACCACACTCCAGAGGGCCCCATACTTATGAGTGCAGCACAAATTGGACTCAGGGAATTATTTAAAAAACTAATAAAAGAGGACATCAAGTTAGGAGGGGGGTATAGGGTGCAGGTGGCCCTAGGAGGAATTAAAGGGAAAAGCGGGGGATGAGCATGACCAAAATATATTATATGCATATATGAAATTCTCAAATAATTAATAAAAACGTATTTGAAAAAAGAAATGGATTTTTATCTTTAGCCAGCAGACCTTGGACAAATCAATTAACCTCCCTGAAACTTTTTTTCTCAACTGCTAGAGAGTAACTACAGTGATCAAATGATGAGTATGGAAGTTAATAGAATAGATTATCGCTTGCTGTGAATTATCAATAGCCACAAGCTACATTCACATTTAACCTCAACTATTACTGAACATACACCTCAATGATTCAAAAAATAGTTGAAGATAGAGAAGTTGCCCAAGAATAGTTAAGGTTGGGACTAGAGAGATGGCTTGGTGGTTAAGAGCACTGACTGCTCTTATAGAGGACCCAGGTTCAATTCCCAGCATCCACATGGTAGCTAACAATCTTCCTTAACTCCAGTTCCAGGGGAATGGTATGCCTTCCTTTGACCTCCATGGGTATTGCACAACACAGGTGCACTTTATACATGTACGCAGTATACTCATACACATAAAATAAAAAATAATATGTTTTAAAAAACAATAGTGATGGTGGTGCTCATATAGAAACACTTGACTTAACAATATGCTAATTCCTCCTTTGTTTATTCTTTGACAGTTTCATACACAAATGCAAAGAACTTTGCTCATTTTCTCCATCCCCCCCAAGCCCCTCTCATCTCTCCTCCTTCTCCCACTGAAGCCCTTCTTCCCACAAGTCCTCCTCTTACTTTTAAGTCAATTGCTTGTGAGTGTGACGCACTGAGCTTAATTAAAGTAGTTTTGCATGAGCGTGGGTGGGGGTGATTTACAGGAACATGCACAAACTACCAGTGCCTACACCACTGCAATGACTCCCCTTTCTTGGCTGCCAATGGTGCCTCAGGAATGGGTGGGGTCTCCTGAGCCCCTCCCCTCTCAGTGATGAACTGCTGAGGGGCCCAATCTCATGCAGAGATAAAACTGAAAAGAATATGTGCTGCTGCTCTCAATTGTTTTCAGGTTAGCTGGTTTCAAACCTCCTTGACCTCACAATCAAGACATGTGGCCTCTTCCTCCTGACTTCCTCCACCACAAAAGCTGACACAGCTGGGCCTGAGGCAGGGTCTGTCCAAAGCATCTTCCATTCTGAGATGCCCAGCCCCGGCTCCTCCCTCCACCTTTGTTCTTCCATGTTTCATTTGGGAACACCAACCTCAGTACACCACTGGAACACTGAAAGGCACATGTGTATCTACCTCAAATTCAGGGACCACCCAAAAGTGTCAACATCATGTTCAAAGTCTGCATGATGGTTAGCTTTAACTGTCAAACTGACTCAACCTAGAATCACCAGGGAAGAGACTCTCAATGAGGGATGGTCTACCTTAGTTTGGCCTGTGGCCATATCTGTGGAAGGTTGTCTTAATAAAGTTAATTGATATGGGAAGACCGAACCTATTATGGGCTGCACCATTCCTTAGGCAGGATTCCTGAACTGTATAACAGAGCAGAGAAATTAAGCTGAACATAAGAAAACAAGCAAGGGGGCTGGAGAGATGGCTTAGCAGTTAAGAGCACTGGCTGCTCTTGCAGAGGACCCAAGTTCTGTTCCCAGCATCCACATGATGGCTAACAACCATCCATAACTCCAGTTCCATGGTATCTGACACCCTCTTCTAGCCTCCACAGACATTATATAACATGGGTGTACTTACAGACATGCAGGTAAAACACTCACATGAAATAAACTTAAATATTTAAAAAAGAAAAAAAGTGATCATGCTTGCATTCATTTCTCTCTCTGCCCTTGAATGGATGTCATATAACTAGCTGTCCTGAGCTCTTGTCACTGTGACTTCCCCATAGTGATGGATTACAACCTAAAATTGTAAGCTAAAAGAAACCCTTTCTCCTTTAAGTTGCTTTCTGTCAGGGTATTTTATCACAGCGACAGAAAGGAAACCAGAGCAGTCTGCTTCCTGCCAACAGTATTTCATGGTCCCGAAGCACTCCTAAGCACATGCCTTCAAGCGAGTGCTTTCAATCATAATTCTCACCTCCACCCTGCCTGATCCTCCCCCTGCTCTGGTACTCGGCTCAGGTCCCACTCCCTTCACAAGATCTCCTTGACAACTCCATCCAGTAAGCACTCCCTTTCTCTCCTGATTTCCATAAAAATCCTTAAGGGTGCACCTTATTCATAACCTTGAACACCCAGGATATTTCTTCAGTAAGTTATTAATATATACTCATTTGGCAGAATCTAGAATAGTTTAAAACAGAGGCCAGACATTGCTTTAAATAATGACATTAGTTCTGTTACAACAGGAGAAAGTATTCATCAAATAGGAGAGAGGGAAGGAAGGAAGGAGGAGAAGAGAAAAGGAAGGAGAAAAGAAGGAAGGGAAGGGAGATGACAGCCTCAAATTTCAAGGAAGTCTAAAATCCAAGGAGGGACTTACATATGGACCAGTCAAATGCAAAGTAAAATATGAATGAATGAATAAATGAATGAATGAATGATTTGTGCAAGGAAGAGTCACTGGGGCAGGGATTAACCTTGAAAGATTTGCCTTTATTGGCATTCCAGTGCAGTCAGGGGGGTTCCAGATACACAACATCTCTGCATTTTTACAGCATACAAAATGGGCTCCTGGAGCCAGAACAGCAGAGCTAGAACCACAGCACTGTGGCTCTGTGCCCCCTCCCTGTTCTTTCACTCCTAACCTTTGTAAAGGTTCTCCCTAAGTCTTTCCCTGTCTTCTCTGTGAACTGCTTGAAGAAAGCTTTTTAAGCTTCCTTATATAAAATATCTACGCACTGCCCATGAATTCGTCAGAAGAAAATCAGAATAAAGCATATGCATAAATAAATCTTACAGATAAATCAATAATCAATCAACCAATCAATAAAGAGAAATAAATAATCTATAAAAATAAATACAGCATGCATATAACCCTTGTGGATTGGAAGAGTACTGAGATAAGTGACTGGGAAAAAAATTTCTACAGTGTGTCATCTGATAACGTTAAGGAGTTAATCAAATTAGAAAAATTCCAACTGCCCAAAGCAAAATCATCCAACCACACAGGATGCTGAGGGGAATTACAGACCCTGCTACCAAATGCATTCTGTTCAAGATGATTTCTTGTTTTTGTTTTTGTTTATCTGAGCGGGCTGTGGAAAGCTACACTTAAAAACCATCCAATTTCAAGAGAGAAATTTCCATCTGGGGCCAGTTGGGGAAAGCAGGAGCTAAACTCTGCAAAGCTAGCTGAGACACAACACAACTCATTAGGGAAACAGTTTATGAGGCTTCTGGAAAACCCCACAAAAGGATGAACTGCGAATCTCCGCACACTGCAGCATTTGTTATTTTCCATTAAATGTCTGCACACAAGTGGAAACACGAAACGATTGAGGAAACGGACAGAGGAAAATAAATTGGAAGTCAACCTATTTTTGCTGAGGCTTTAGCTGGTAGTTAAAATCTTGCCAATTAGTGAGAGTGTCTTTTTGCACTTGAAGAGATTATTTAACCTCCCCCTCCCCAGCCCACAAAGCCCCGAGGTTAATAAAATCATGCTAAGAGCCAAGCAAATCAAGATTAAGCATTAAACCTTAAAAACCCATTAGCATACCCAAAATAATGTTTTTAACAAATCATGCAATATAGAATACAATATTTTAAATGCCATATGTAATGAAAACTGGCAAAATTAAATGCATGGGAAAGCTTTTCAGATGTTGCTCTTCCTCTATTCAGTGTTTGTTACTGACTTGTTGAAAGGAAAGTAGGATAAAATCTTTTTTAAAGGGTGAAACAGCTAATGAC